TTTTCTGTGTCCTCCCTAAGAAGTCATTGCCTATTCTAAGATCACAAAAAAATCCATCCATGTTTTCTTCTCAAGGCTAACAGTTTAATTTTACATTTGGGTCTATGATCCATAGATCTATATTTGTTGAGAAGTGTGGATAAAAGTTCATTATGTTCCCATAATAATTATCCATCCAGTTGTCCCAGCATCATTAGTAAAAAGACTACATTTTCAGCATAGGATTAATTTGGGACCTCTGTCAAAGAATCAGTTGACAATTTGTGTGTGGCTCTGTTTCTGTGCATTGATCTGTTTGTCTGTTCTAAAGCCAATGCCACAGTGCCTTGATTACTGAAGCTATATATTAACTCTTGAAGTCAGGTTGTATAATTTATCCAGCATTTTTCTTCTTTTCCAAATTGCTTTGGCTATTCTAGGTTCTTCCCATTTAGATACTCATTTTAGAATCACTTGTCAATTTACCAGAAAGCCTTCTGGGTTCATGATTGGGTTATGGTGAATCTACAGATCAATTTGGGGAAAATAGATATCTTAGCCATTTGGAGTATTCTAATCTGTGAACATGGTTTATCTCTCCATTTATTTATGTCTTCTTTAATTTCTCTCAGGAATATCTTACAGATTTAGGTAGATTTACTTCCAAATATTTTTATATTTATGGCATTGTACATAAATTTAAATTCCTTTTCCATTTTGCTTTTACTACTACATAAAAATACAATAGATTTGTATACCTACCTTATATGTGTAACCTCATTAGGTTCATTTATTAGTTTGTGTGGATCTTTGTAGTTTCTGTAGTAGTGTTTATCTGTGCAATTATGTAAAGGTCACAGAAAGGCCATTTTATTTCTTCCAATATAATCTTTATCTCTTACTTGGCTTACTGCTTAAAACATCCAGTAAAATGTGGGAAAACATTCTGAAGGCCACATCTCACTGCCTTGTTCCCAACTCTACAGGAAATGTTCAATATTTCATCATTAAATATGATGATTACCTGGAGATATTTCATAGTTATTTCTATCAGTTTGAGGAAGGTCCTTTCTAGTCCTAGTTTGCTGAGATGTTTTACCATGAATGGGTAGTGAATTTTGTCAAATAATTTTTGTCCATCTATGAAGATTATCATGTCATTTTTTTATTTTAATCTGTGAAGGTAGCAATTTATGTTGAATGACGTTTTAATATTACATCATTTTGCATTCCTAAGATGACTTACATTTGGTCATGGCATATTATTATTTTCATATGTTGCTGTCTTTGTTTTGTTCATATTTTGTCAATGATATTTGTTCCTATGATCATGAGGGATATCGGTCTACAATTCCCTTTTCTTGTAATGTCTTCCTCAGGTTTTGATATTAGGGTTATGCTGCCTTCAGGAAATGAGATGGAAAATATTCCTCTTCTATTTTCTGAAATATATGACATATGGTTGATACAATTTCTTACTTAAATGTTTGGTAGAATTCACCAGTGAAATCATCTGGGCACAGAGTTTTCCTAGAAATGTTTCCTATTTAAAATTTACTTTTTTGGGGGTGGCTGGCTGGCTTAGTCAGTTGAGTGTCCAACTTCGGCTCAGGTCATGATCTCTCAGTTCGTGAGCTCGAGCCCTGCATGGGCTTGCTGCTGTCAGCATGGAGTCTCCTTTGGATCTTCTGTCCCTGTCTCTCTCTGTCCCTCCCCCCCTCCTATTCACTCCCTCTCTCTCAAAAATAAAACATTTTAAAAAGTTAAAAAAAAAAAGATTCTTAGTTTAATCATCCAGTCAGCGTCTTTTCTAGGTTTCATGATACCCCATGGAACAGTGCCTCTCAACTTTTTGCCGCCACAGAGCAGGGATTTTCTTTTCACCAGTCTCCAGTAATATTCTTCTCACTTACCTTATGGCCTCTGTGGCAACCTCCTTGAGGGCCACAGGGTTGTTAATAGCAATTCCAAGGCCTTTTGCCTTTCACTAGAAGTCTCCTTAACACGTTCTACCTTATGAGGCGCCTGGGTGGCTCAGTCAGTTAAGTGTCCAGCTCTTGATTTCAGCTCAGGTCATGATCTTATGGTTTGTGGGTTAAAGCCCCACATTGGGCTCTGTGGTGACAGTGCAGAACCTGCTTGGGATTCTCTCTCCCCCCCTCTCTCTCTCTGTCCCTCCCCTGCTCACTTTCTCTCTCAAAACAAATAAACTTAAAAAAAATTTTTTGTAATATTAATGAAAGTTTTTTTTAAAAAGATGTTCTAGTTTTTCCCTACTTGCTCAGTCCCAAAGTTACCTCTACATTTTTGGGGTTCTGTTATACTAGCAGTACCAATGTCTATACTAGTCCTCTATTATCCCCTAACAAATTACCCCCAAACTTAGTGGCATAAAATATAATCACATTTATTGTCTTTCATATTTTCTGTGGTTAAGGAATTGGGGAATGGCTTTGATTAGATGTACTATCTTGCAGTTCTCATGAGATTTAGTCAGAGGTCATCTGGGGACACGTATATCTGAAGGCTTGACTGGAAATTCAAGGTGGCTAACTCATGTGGCTGGCAAGTTGGGTTGCCTATTTGGGAGAGGCCTCAGTTCCTCTACATGTGGGCCTCATCACAGGGCTGCTTGTGATGTAGCAGCTGGCTTCTCCCAGAACAAGTGATCCAATTATCCTAGCCTAGAATGTCACACAAGAGCACCTCTAATGCACCCTACTGGTCATAACAACTAATTCTAACTCAATGTGCAAGGAGACTAAAGAGTATGAATATCAGGAGGTGATGATACTTGAGAGCCATCATTGATTCTGGCTACTATTTACTATTTGTTGATTTTTACCATAGCTATGGGTCATATTTTACTTCTTTGCATGCCTAGTAATTTTTTATTGGATGCCGGACCTTGGGAGAGTATATTTGTTGAGTACTAGATTTTTTGGCTTCCTTTAAATAGTACTGGACTTTGATCTGACAGGAAGTAATTTATATACCAGGTTGATCCTTTCAAGACTTGTTTTTAAGCCTTGTTATGGCAAGTCTAGAATAGTCTTTAGTCCAGGGATAATTTTGCCATAGTATTAGGCAAAACTCTCTGGAATTCCTACTGAAAGCCCCAAGGGGTCAATGGGGACTCTGCAGTCTGGCTGGTCAAAACTTAAACATCCCCCAGCTCTGAATGAGCTCTGGCAACTTTTTGGCATATATTTCTCTAATTCTGTTTTGCTCATGGAGTTTTATCCCATGCATGTGTGATTAAGTATTTAATAAAGGACTCCAGACAGGCTTTGCCTGACTGCATGGAAGTTCCTCCTCCAAATCTATGACTGAGTATTTAAAGACAAACTGAAGGGAGCCCTGTGCACATTTCTGAAGCACTTTATTTCCATAGTTTCCTCCTCTCTGGCACTCAGCTTCACATCTTCTGGCCACCTCATTCCCCCTTAATTCGGCTTGGTCGCCTCAGCTTAGAGAAAATGCTGTGCTTTTCCTAGTTTCTCCTTCCTGAGCTGCAGTCTGGGAAATGTCCCCAAGAAGAAGGTCAGAATGGTTCTCTGGTTCACCTCATAGTTCTTTTTTTCCAGAGATCACAGTTCTCCACTGTTTGTTGTCCAGTTTCTGAAAATAGTGGCTCAACACATTTTGTCCCATCATTTAGAATAAGAAGACCATCTTTCTCTCAATTATTTCATTGGAGCTGGAAATAGAAGCCTCCTATTCTTTTTCCTATTTATGTCATTCATTTTGCTATCTAAGTTTCCAGTTTGGGCTCACTCTAGTTCGTCTCCTTGAAGTAAGCTTTGAAGTAATTTGGGACTTCAACATATCTGGGAAATCCCTTTTCTCTCTCTTCATAAATTAATAGCAATGTAATATTTAAAAAAAGATCTTATAATCCCCTTGATTGGCTCTTACACCTTCTAAAATAATAACAGAAAGACTCTGCTTTAACAATAGGTTTCCAAGGAAATTGCAAGAGAGACTGATGTATATACTATGCCAATTGCCTGGCAAGTTCAGAA